TGCAGTTTTAGTCGGTTCGAGTCCGACATGCCACCGGCGGGTGGTATCCGAGGGGATTTCCGCACAGGAAAAAAAAAGGGGTGGAACCTTCATAGTAAGTATTAAATTATTGTGTGTGTGTGTGTGTGTGTGTGTGTGTGTGTGTAATAAAACACATTTTATGTATACAATATTTACTATCGTAATAAGAAGTAATTAAAAAAATTAAGAACAAAATAAATTGAAATTCTGAAAATGGAACAATATGGCTGAAATTTTCAATATAATTATCAGCCTCATATTCAATGTTAGCATCAGATTGTTCATAGCAAGTTGAATCAGCATTTTCCTTGTTATGGTTTTTTTGCGAAATAGTTGCATTTTCTAATTGTTCGTTGCAAGTATCGGGCACAGACTTTTTATTGTTATGAACAATCACGTAATCCGGATCACGAATTGGCTTATTCCTGGTGTGCCTCGGGTCGACAAGTTCGGGAAGAAGACAGTCGTAATAGAATATTAACAACTTTGGTTCCATCTCTTTTTTCCAGAATGCATCATCTTTTTCAATAACCTCAGTTTTTATTTTATTATTGCCATACCATATACCCAACAAACAGCAATTTTTTTTTGCAGATATGAAGTTGGCCTTGTATCTGAAAATACCAGTCGGATCTTTGGTTAATAATAAACACCTCACCATTTTTGTTTTGATAAAAATACATTTTTTTTATTTTGTACTGCGTCTTCTATGCCATTTTTAAATGGTGCAATAGGACATTTGATTTCCACTATCATATCACTTGTGGTGATCCCATCAGGTGTAGCACCCAAGAAAGGATATTTGTCGTCTATAAAAAAGCCGCAATTTTTTATTTTGATTTTATGCATTGAAGCTAGTTGCTCGAGTGCTATTTTTCATATTTTTTTCCGTGACTAATAGATTGAACATGGTCGATGCTGGGTTTGTAAAGCAATTTTTTTATTTTGGCAAGAATTCGTCTGCGTTTTCTTTATAACCTTGCCAAAATTTGATGCGGTTAACATGTTGCGACGTAGTTCAAGCCATTCTCCAGATTCACTTTGTAGGATGGTCCTTTTTTTCGATTTCTTTCCGTTCTTCATTCGTTTTTAATAAATTTTGTACAAAAGTCTTTTTTGCTTTTTCTAAATTATCTTTGTCCAAGTCTGGTTTGTCGACTACTTCGCCATAATCCAAATTTAGCGTTCTTGGTACCAATGTACGATTTTTTTTCCTAATGTTGAGTTTGGCCTTGAGTCTTTTTTCATTTATTGCATTTTCATGCTTTTTTATGGACAATCTGGGGCTTGTCCCATAAACTTTTCGCTGAACAGTTGATAGTAATTTCCCAGTATTAAATGAAATCAGAGCTCCTGCGCATCTTGCCTGATAAGAACGTCTTTGAGCATAATTAACACGTTTACCCATGACCAGTTTTGCTATAACTCCATTAAATCTTTCCACAACATTGCTGTCTACGTCTTCAATTAAACTGTGTGCTTTATCAGCTAATTGTGCAGCAACTGTTTTAATTTTTTGCCAAAGAAGACTGCCAAAAAATGGGTTTGTGGCATCAGCTAGATCCATATGTTTGCATAATTGGCGGTTACAATTTTCATGAATATCAAAAGCATGGAAAACAGAAGAATTGATGTCTTTGGATAAACCATCTTCATTTTTTGTTTCTTTGTGAAGCTTTGTAGCATCACAAATATATTTTCTTGATCGCAATATCTTTTCTTGTGTTAATTTTTTCCTGTCTGCTGCAATATATTGCGTATTGGAGGCCAGTTGTTGCAGTTTATAACAGTAGTTCCTCAGCAAATGATTGCGACAGTAATTTTTTGCGACGGTAATGCCTGGATATGGGCGAGCATTTATTATTTTTGAATATGTACTACTATCGCCATCGGCGATGAATCTTGAATAAATCAATCCATGCACGTCAATAGATTGTTTGAATCCATGGTGGATGGTTATTATTGTTGACTCCATGGCAGTAGACGCACCATTGAAATTTTTGTAACAAGTGTGCTCTTTTGGCGTTTCTTTTTTTTTTCTCAGCGCAAATGCAACAATATTTATTTTTGACGCACATATTATAGCACTTGGCCGAAACGTCTACCAATTATGGCTGCGGCCCCTGATAATGCCGCATAATTAGTCCGGTAAGATCGCTTACACCAGCAGCCATCTACAATGACATCTACTAGCGGTATACCGTCTATTGACTTTCCCTTCCTTTATTGCAGCTTCTATTTCTCTTTTGCCAGCCTTTTTCATCTCATCCCATGCAGTCTCTTCCCAGTCATCACAGATATCATTATGCATTTTATTGTATGTGAAATCAGATATATTGGGTAAACCTACTCCAGACAAAAATTGACTGAGCTGTGCTTGACCACAACCAGCAGCCATAACTCCAGCAACGGCGTCTTTGTTTACATCAGCCAATGACGATTTTATTTTATTTTTGTAACCACACAATGAACAAACATATGTAAATTCAGATTGCAAGCCCACGCGATGTTCAGACTCTAATTTTAATGTGGCTAATCCACAATTAAACAAAGACTTGTGTTCGGAGAATTTTAAAAGTTCTGTTACAAAATGGTTCACATCTATTATTCTATGGCCTATATCTTGTACCTCCCGCTCAATCTGAAACAAATATAAAAAATAAGTATCAATATCGTGCATGGAATGTGATGGCGCGGGGGTCTATGGGTCATGAGGAGAAATGTGAATACCTAAGTTACTTACTTAGGTATTAACATTACTTTTCTCTCAGATGTAACTTCAAGAGTGTTTCCTGGAGAAGTGCAATCAAACGAAGACCAAGTCGGTCTGAGAAATATTCAAAATTTCTTTAAAAAAATGGTTGACATTTTGTGTTTCTTTCTTAATCTGAAAAAAAATATTAATTTGAAATACTTAATTTATTTTCATTGTGTTGTGATGGTTCAGTTCCGCATAGGTACGTAGGTAGGCAGGCAGGACGTGCCCGCACGCGCTAATAGCTAAGTGGAAATGTATTGTTGTGTACTAAGTAATAAGTGTAGTAATATACACGTATACGAACACGCAAGAGTTTTATTCTAATAGTGGTGAGTCTAGTGCCACCTAAAACATTTCTGCGGCCTAATCTCCTATACAACTATCCTATACATTGTTCCAACGACTGTTTCCTAAAATATAACACATATTTAAAATAATATTTAACAATCACTATACACTTATCAGAAGATTTGTAATTGTAGCACAAAAGGTGGAAAAGAAGATAAGTTCATATTTTTTTATCACAAAAATAAATATCATGATGTAAACTTACCTTCTTTTCGTCATATTTGCAGATTTTTCTAAAAGACAAGCTTTCTTCTCCTTTTGGAAAATCTTTCTTTCGTTTTTCCCATTTTTATTCTAATAAAACCGCTAAATAAATTCACGCAATGGGCAATGTGACAGTGTCAAGTGTGACAGACCCGTCGCTGACAATGGTCAAGAGGGGACTGAGCGTCTCAGCGGGGCGAGGATTGCATACGCACGTTAGCTTATAACTAAAGGACGTAAACGACAAAATGCTTTTTGTTATTTTAATTTGTTAAAAATGATAATTTGAGAAAATCCTTCTACAATTTTAAAGAGTATGTATGGACTCGTCTACAGAGAAAGATAAGAGGCTTAAATCGGTACCGCCATTCGATCGTCATCACCACTCTTTACTGATATTGCCACCAATATGGCGATAAAATGAGACGAAGATCTTTATTGTTTCTATCCAGGAGTTACTGTGGTATTGTTACTAATAAACGGATGGACCGATTTAAATTCAGCTCTTTCGTTTAAATAAAGAAAAGAACGCAATCCTTTTATTTTTACATTAACTATACCTAAAGGAAATCTCTTTTTAAAAAGAGGTATGTTTGATATTTTTTCTCTGTTACAAAAGTTAACTAATCGTGTATTGAAAACTAACAAAATAAGGTTTTCATCATGAACTATTCAGTTCACCAACTTATATTTTCATTCGTTTCGTAATTACTGACAAAAATTGAGATCACTGATGCCAAAATTTCCAATGCGTCCTCTTAACGTAATCACTGAGGGCGTCTATAATTGCATCATACGTTTCTGGAACTATAGATGATATAGATTGTTTCGATACTCTAAAAAGATATTGCAGACCGCTATAGGAGTCTCCTGTTGACAAATATCTCAATGTTAGCAGCACTCTTTCGGATACAGTTATTGCTTCTCTGTAGTTAGTGTCACATTTTTGTATTTTCACAGCCACTAAGGAGCACAAATATTCAATGTCTCCCGCAGACATTCTTGTAAAATTTGAGACTGAATGGTCGATAGTTAGTTCCTTTAACAAACTGTTACCGTATTGGTTTCGGTTTTGGTACAATTTTTTAATCCAGAGTTTTCGTTTCTCTTTTCTTTTTTTTATGATATATAGTAGCAGCTAATAATACGTGGTTTTCCATCGTTATACGGAGAGAAACTGAATGCTCAAACCGGCTCACCTTGGCTTGCGAGCCCGGCTCTTTTCACAAATTAGCTCGGGTGCCACGGTTCGCGAGCAGGAAGTCTGTCTGGACGCGGCTATTGATTTTTGAAGCATGGTCTTCCAGCTCTCTGGTTAGTTAATCAAATTTTAAAAAGTGGTCTTCCAGCTTGTCGTTTTTACCAAATTTAAGTGTAACTAGCTTCCTTCAAAGTGTTAGTTTAGAAAAGGAACTTGATCTAACAAATATATCTTGAAGAGGTTTCATCATTTGTTTAGCCGTTTTAGCATCTTTTATGATATCTAGGTGCTTGTCTGACAATCCTTGAAATATTATAGCTCTGGCGTTTGCATCATTTAGCATAAACTCCTTTTTTAGCAGCGATATTAGAGACGTATTACGGCACTCTGATATTTTCAACTTAAGTGAATCTACTAATTTGAGGGCCAAAGGATCATTGATACTTTCTTTTTTTTTTAGCAATACGTCTATATAGCCTCTGCTAATAATGCCAATAAATTGTCATCTTGTCTACTCAACGCCTCTACTCCAAGTTTTGTTGGTGTTAATATCATCTGCAGTTTTTGTAGCACAGTAATATTATCTTCATTCCATTTTTGTGAGCTATCTAAATCTATCAATGCCTTTTTTATTGCTTTTTTTAATAACAAGAAACGTTCAATCATTGTCAGCATTGAATTCCATCTAGTTCTGACATCGAGTAACAAAACTAGTTCTACTCCGAATTCGGCTACTACATGTTTCTGTAGTGTGATTGATTTTAGAGGACTCTTTCTGAAAAATCTTATAATCGATCGGGTCTCAGTCATTACATTGTTTATGTCATCAATTATTTGCGATCTAGGTTCTTCATTAGATATATAAGATTCATCATAGTTATCAGTGCTGCTGGTTTCATAGGAGCTGCTGTGTTCATCGGAGCTGCTGTATACGTCATCGTTATGCAAGGCATTCCTAGCAGCTATAACTTCTGACTGTTTTTTTGCTAAATGTGTCAAGAATAGCTAAATGGATGGCATGATTTACACAAAGAACCTTTCACAGGGGCTTTCTCTGCCAAATTTTTTCATTACGTTTGCCCCATCGCTTGTTACGGCAACAACATCACTCTCAAATTTCACTCCAAAATTTTTTAAGCGTTCCTCCACTATTTGTCTTACTTCAACGGCCCCACATTTACCGGGTATATAGGCTAACCCCAAATTATAATGTGTTGTTTCTGTGGTATGACAAATAATACTAAAATAGCGTTTGTTACGTATGCTTGTCCACTCGTCAATAGTCACACTTAGCCGGTTACCTGAAGAACAAATATCTGAAAGTTCTTTTATTATTTCTTTTTCCTTATCCTCATAGTATTTTAGTATCAGATTCATAACATCATTAACACACATAGCCAGTTTATATCCTTTAGCAGAAAGTGATTCTCGAATGAATTCACTTTTTGTGATTCCATTTATGGTAAAGAAAATACTGATGGAATGGTTGCATTTTTCAAAAATGTATTATTGTATACGAGTAGCAGCTGTCCACGCGGACGCATCGCTCACTCAAGTAGGAGAGAGACAGATGTCGAACGCTGCCGAACGCGGAGGCCGATTGTGCCTCTTTGTCACTCGTTCCGCGCTCTCGCTTGCACTTCACGCCTTAAATGGAACACCTCAGAGCGAGGTAACGCCGCATGAGTCATGTTTTTTCGTGCGTGCAGCCGGCTCCATCGAATTATAAGACGTTGTCACGTCAAAAATAATAGAAAAGAACTGATAGGTACTCGTACCTAGTAAAATTAAAGATCATATTTAGATTATATTATTGATAAATATAATATGAATAATAAAGCCATGATGTGTCAATAAAAGTGAAAAGATTTACCTGTTTGATTTCAATTTATAACGTAATCTGTGAAACACTCACTACGTAAAGTATACTTACTTGGCTAGAGTCGAAACACGAATGAACGTGTAAAAACGACGTCACAGAGCGCTTGCAGCGAGATCAAAGGGTGCCGCTGCGCTTTGGCCCACGCCGCCACGCAACACAACAAACGGCGATTTAATTTCTATAAAGATACATGATTTCTCGAGGTCTCGACTTTTCTCGAGCTTGATTTCCCGGGAACAAAGCCCAACGATTTCCCGGGAATAAACCCTACTCAGGAACGAGGTACTTAGATTAATAATCTTATCTTTGGTTTTGTATCACGCACTGTATTTAATAACGTTTCAGTAAAAACACTGTGACAATTATCGTGTGGTAACGGATTAAGAATACGGAATGTCACCACCCCTGTTCATCCCGTGAGTGTCGTAAGAGCGGACTAAGGGAGCAAACTAAGCAGGACAACAACACTGCAAAGAGAAGGAAAACTTGGAACAAACCCTATACCAACCTGGCCAGCGTTGTATGCCAAACTTCCTTTCTAAGGAGAGGCCTTTTTTTTTTTTTTTTGTTGACGGGGTGGAAAATTTCTTCGGATCTCCGGCTCCTTGAGGATGTAGGAGTGTGTGGTGTTTCCACTAAAAACCTCCCCGACGGCCGGACTCAGGCGCCCTACTCCGAGGAGTACCCGAACCATGTTATTTCAGGTCCCCCTCGGATCGACGCCGCGCCCCGTAAAGCCCTATCCCGGGGAAGCTGCGAGCTTCCCCCGCCTATCGGCCCAATCGTTAATATGTTAAGCGAATGTTAAAGACTGTTGATTATGATGATGAGTCACGATAACAAGTCAACAGACGAAAGTACTTCTAATTTAAAAAATTGTACAATAATAATTTAAAATAACTACAAAATTTAATTACAGCAAATCAAACGCTGTAATGTTAGCTGCAGGTGTGCCTATACGTAGGTGACACTCACTATATAAGCACGGTACAATTATAATATGTATCGTGATATAAGTTTAAAGATGCCCGAAATTTAAAAATGGAACGCATCTGTGTCACATTATATTAAAAGGCTTTAAAATTTATTTGCCTTATACTGCAATAAAAAAGTATACTGTCAAAATTTCGCGCGTCTGCCACAGTGGAGCAAACGTGAACATTTGCGTGCTATGATACGAGTACATTACAACTTTAAAAGTGTAAGTATATAATAGGTCTTTACCTATGAAATTGCCGTTTTGTATGCAATAAGTGAAGGTACTTCTTTTTTCAAAATTTTTTATTAATTTTAAATTTTGGAAAAAGTTATTACTTTGCACGCGAGTATTCTCGGTAGGTGCAAGGTCTGGTGGTTACATCTGCAACCAGCTTCGGTCAATCGGTCGTCCCCACTGCTCCTTCACGACAACTGACTGACATACTGCGCAACAGACAGTTTCCAAGCTGCAAGAGCTGGGGTTGGAAGCTCTCCCTCATCCGCCATACTCACCAGACCTTGCACCTACCGACTATTAATTTTTCCAAAATTTAGACAACTTTTTAGTGGGTAAAAAATTCAATTCCCGAGAGGCAGTACAAAATGCCTTTGAAGAGTTTGTTGCCTCCCGTCCAGCTGATTTTTACAAGAAGGGCATCAATAAACTGCCAATGCGTTGGCAAAGATGCGTCGATTGCATGGGTGATTACTTCGAATAACAGAAATAAAAAAGTTTGAAAAAATAAGTACTTTCACTTATTGCATACAAAACGGCAATTTCATAGGTAAAGACCTAATATATTATTTACCCTTTGCGTTGCCTACGTAGATAGAGGTTATCATGGAGAAGAACAAAGTAATGAAAAATTAACAGCTGAGGCTCAGCTAATTGATTTTCCTCTCACGATCAAAGCTGTCCTAGGTGGCGGTAGTTAGATAACTATTGTCTGTTAGACATGGGACAAAACATGGGACAGTTTTTTTTTAATTATTATGTGGTATGGAAAATAATTACTAGATTTACTGTTAAATAGGTGAAATAAGGTATCTATGCATCGTCTGAAAACAACTTATTGGCAACAACGCGTGGGAAAGTAGTAACCCTAACCAACCTATGTATGACAAAATCGAATTAAAAATCACCCGTCTTCCACGGTTCACTGTGCTTTTGTCCCATGCCTATTGTCTGTATTATATTCCGATATCAGTTTGCATCTCAAAATTTACCTTGTAAAATAATTGAAAAGAAATTAAACACTTGGCGAGAGCGCCCTCTTGTTAAAAAGTAGTATAGTGCCACCAACTTATCTGTTCAGTAGACGGCGTCGCTACTGGAGCGATAGGTGTTGCCTTTTAAAATATTTATCAGGAGTTTAGGGTATTTGAAACATACGAAATCACGTGAGCTGTAATTTTAAATATTGATCGGAGTTTATTAATTCATGTTTAAATATCATAACTATATAATTTATAAATTAGTTGAAAAGAAAGAAATATTTTGTTTTGCAAACAGATAATACGATTTATTATACCAAACTAGTTACATTATATTTTATAAAAATAATTGTGGTCGTGATCTCTAAATTCCAGTGGCTGCACCCCAGAAATTCCAATAGAATATGATGAACTGGTGGTGGGGCAGTCTGGTGATACCCGCGGCTCATCATCTGAATCACTTAAATCGCTTTCACTATCACTCTGTATTGAATAATGAAAGGTTCATCTAAATGAGCATCCTTTTTTCTGTACTCACATGCAATTTTTTTCACGTGTTGGCAGTGGTTTTTCCACTCTGCTGAACTGATCTTGCAAAATGCATTTTCAATTAACTGGGGCATTTGAGCACTTGACTTTCCAACATTTTGCTCTGCAACATTTCTCTTCATTGAACTCCATATCATTTCTATGGGGTTCAAGTCGCAATGATATGGAGGCAACCTAAGGACAGAATGACCGTGGCTTTTTAATAAATTATCAATTTCATATTCTGGAACAGGTTTGTTTCTTTTTATTAACTCCAGCAGCTGAGGCTTTGTCATTTGCTCTGAAAATTCAATATTTTTTTCAGATAGCCACTCTTGCATGACAGCCTTAGTGTGGTTAGAGTTAGGACACTTATTTATGCAAACGCTGTGATAGGGCGCATTTTCCATAACAATTAGTGAGGGTTTATGTAGGTTCGGTAGTAATTTTTCCAGAGTCCACTTTTTAAAATTATTGTTGTTCATTTCGTCGTGGTGATCACCACTTTTCGTGTTTGATTTAAATAAAAGCAGAGCATTCTCCACAAAACCTTCTTCTCCCCCTACATGAACTATAATCCACCGGTGACCTTTAGAGACTGGTTCCAAATCACCTTCGACATCAGGGCCTTGCCAGCACTTGGCAGTTGAGTGAGATGAGTGTATGTAGGTTTCATCTAAATAAGTAACTGGCCTATCCTCACCACACTCATTATTATGATTTTTTTGTAAATAAGTCGCCCTCCATGCGACTATATCATTACGCTCACAAAGCACTTTTCTATTTGATTTGGTTTTTTTAAAGCGGAATCCTATTTTGTGGAGCAACTTTCTGAGTGATTCACGTTTCCCCTGGAAATTGATATCTTCTCTTAAAATGTTCAATAGCTTGGTTATAGAAGGAATTTCTTTTTTTACTGAATAAAATTCATGGATTTTTCTCCTAATCACACGAATATCAAAGTCATCAACTTCTAGTTTCCCTGTTTTTACCAGGTGTACATATTTTAGTATTAGTTTCTTCAGCTCGTTTTTCTTCATTCATTAATTTATAAACAAATCGCTCACTAACACCTGTAACAAAAAGTGGCTCATCAAACTTAAGAAATAATGTTATTTTTTTTATTTATTCGGGTGGAATAAACAGTGAACACAATGTAGGTATACGTTTAACGTTTATGAAAATAAAGAATAGTAAAATGGTGCACTAGTTAGTAGTAGTGGGGGCGACGTATCAGTTTTATTTCTAATTTTCAGTGGATATATATTTTTTTTTTTTTTTTTTTTTTTTTTTTTTTTTTTTGCGTTTATTTGCGATCAGCCCAAAGGCTATGAGCAAATATGCTGTGTGATGCTGTCGTGCGGAGTAGCTTCCCATTGGAAGCATCTACTCATCTGCTACCCAGAGCTACTGCCGGCCATCTAGCTCTAGGATATGGTGACGTTTTAGTCGTCTCGCATACTCGTCCATGGTGAGTTGGCGAGCGAGTACGTTAGGGTGACAGGTTAATCGCTCTTTGTATTTAGCTGCCAAACTCCGAATTTCCTCCTTGATTGTTTTCATTTCCAGGTGCTCGTGAACTTCGTTATTGGTTATGCACCATGGTACCTTCGCAATTGATCTTAGGATCTTGTTCTGTTGGCGTTGTAGTATATTTAAGTTGGTATCGCTTGCGCTGCCCCACAGTTGCAGACCATATGTCCAAATGGGCTTTAGGATGACCTTATATATAAGCAGTTTGTTGTCTAAGGAGAGTCTCGAGTTCCTTCCTAGCATCCAGTATAGGCTGTTG